GCCTCCCAAGTAGCTGGGATCACAGGCGCCTGCCACAACGCCTGGCTATTTTTTGGTTGCTGCCGTCATTGTTGTTTGGCAGCCAGGCTGGATTCGAACCCGCCACCTTGGGTGTACGTGGCTGGCACCTTAGCCACTTGAGCCACAAGCGCCGAGCCTTCTTTTTTTCTTTTTAGAGGCAGAGCCTCGCTTTATCGCCCATGGTAGAGTTTTGAAGTGTTCCCTTCCTTTTCAATTTTTTTGAAGAGTTTGAGGAATATTGGTGTTAATATTTTCTTTTTAGAGGCAGAGCCTCACTTTATCGCCCATGGTAGAGTTGCCCCAGCATCACAGCTCACAGCAACTGGCAGCTCTTGGCTTAGGTGATTCTCTTGCCTCAGCCACCCAAGTAGTTGGGACTACAGGCTCCCATGACAACACTCAGCTATTTTTTGGTTGCAGTTTGGCCGGGCTGGGTTTGAACCTGCCACCCTTGATATATGGGGCCGGCACCCTACTCACTTAGCCACAGGCATGGCCCTAAATAACGCATTCTTTTATAACTTAGGGGTCACAGAAGAAATCATAAGTGACATTGGAAAACTTCTGGAGACAAATTAAAATGAAAACAAATGTAACAAATCTTAGGGGACCCAGGAAAAGCAGTACAAAGAGAGAAGTTTATTCAGGTAAACATATCAGAAATAATGATCTTAATTCAACAAGCTAGTTTTATACCTCAAGGATTTAGGAAAAGGAGAACTAAATCCCAAATTAACAAAGGGAATGAAATAATAAAGATTAGAGCAGAGATACATGAAATAGTAGAGCAGAAAAACAATGGAAAGATGAAAGTACTCATTAATCTTTTAAAAGACATCAATAAAATTGATAAATCTAGATTTTTCTTTAGCAAGAAAAAAAGAGGAAACTCAAAAAACTAATATTAGAAATAAGAGTACATTAAAACTGATGACAAAGAAATGAAGTGTAATAGAATACTATAAACAATTATGTGCCAATAAATTGCATATAAATTATGGAAGAACTGGATTAAATATCTACAGGCATACAATATATGAAGGCTCAGTCATTAAGTAAATCAAGAAATAAAAAATCTGCCAGGCTTGGTGGCTCATGCCTGTAATCCTAGCACTGCGGGCAGCTAAGGCCAGTAGATTACAGGTCCAAGACCAACCTGAGCAAAAGCGAGACCCTGCCTCTAAAAATAGCCGGGTGTTGTGGCAGCCACCTGTAGTCTCAGCTACTCAGAAGGCTCAGTCAAGAGAATCACTGCAGTTCAAGAATTTGAGGTTGCTGTGAGCTACGACACCACAGCAAATAAAAAATCTGACTATACTTATAATCGTTAAAGAAATTGAAGCAGTAATCAAAAGTGTTCCAACAAAGAAAAATTTGGAACTAGATGGCTTCACAGGAGAATCCTACCAAACATTTAAAGGAGAATTAACACCAATATTCCTCAAACTCTTCAAAACAATTGAAAAGGAAGGGAACACTTCAAAACTCATTTTATGAGGCTGGTATTATCCTGATATCCAAGTAAGACAAAGACACCACAGCAAATGAAAGGTACAGGCCCACTATCCCTGATGAGTATTGATGCAAAAATCCTCAACAAAATACTAGAAATAGAATGCAGCAGCACATTAAAATCATTATACACTTATATACCACAACCAAGTAGGATTTATTCCCAAAATTCAAGGATCGTTCCCCATGTGAAAAATCAATGAATATAATATACCACATTTTATTTTCATTTTATTATTGTTTGTTAGCTGGTTAAAACAATCCATTCTGCTTCTATTTATTTTGCTACACTAAATTAAATCATAATTCAATTTCATGATATTTAATAACACTTCATTATCTTCTACACAGAAGCATGAAAAAAGCTGAAAATTTAATTTCATTTGATTCATCCTTGACTGTAATGAAGGACTCTGTGAAGAGGAGAAGCCGTGCTTAGGGGCTGAAGTCCGAGCAGCTTCTTGGTGGCAGAGTCCCAGTCTTTACCCAATTCAAGCCGTGGACAGATAGATGAATACTGTCCCTCGGTTCTTCTTACCCATTCATTTGCTTTCTTTATTGCCTCAAAATCCCAGGGACTATTCCTAGGTTAAAAAAAAAGTTTCCATTGATTTCAGAATGTAAGTACACGTGAAAGGTAATAAAGTACTAAATTCATCACATTATATTGGACAAAATGATTCCATCAAAAATTAAGATATTTAATGAAAGCAAATCTCTTTGACATCTTAGGAACATTCTTCTACCAGTCTGATGTGGTGCTTTGAGCTTACTCTGCATCGCCAAGTATACTGTGCCCATCACTTGCCAGAGCTTCCACGTGTTGCCTCCAGGACAACTCAGGCTGCTTGCAGATTCATATTTGTTTATTGCTGTCCCCTTTCCACTCTCTGGATCTAAATCCTGTCCATTCCTCAAGCACAAACCTGAGTACTATTTTACAAATTAGGCTTCTGTGTCTCTCTCCTTTCTACTGTACTAGGATTTCTCAACTTGGTGTCCCCTGTGAAACTGGCCTATATTCTGTAACATAAGCCAGGAACAACTTACTAGTAAAATGTGTATAACATATAAATGTCAAGTTTGTGTCCACAAAATGATATGGACACAAAAGAATATTTGAGGTGGCATCCGTAGATCAGTGGGTAGGGCATCGGCCACAGACACTGGGGCTGGTGGGTTCGAACCCAGCCTGGGCCAGCTAAAATCAACAATGACAAGAGCAACAAAGAAATAGCCAGGTGTTGTGGCTGGTGCTCAGCTACCTGGGAGGCTGAGGCAGGAGAATCGCTTAAGCCCAAGAGTTGGAGGTTGCAGTAAGCTATGACGCCATGGCACTCCACCAAGGGCAACATAGTGAGACTGTGTCTCCAAAAAAAAAGAAAAAAGAAAAAAGAAAAAAAGAATATTTGAGACTGTCAAATATTCAAGTCTATTCAAGACTCTAAAAAAGTCTGAGGTTTTTACGTTAAAGCTCTAATAAGTAGCTACCTCTTTGTGTGTTCTGTCATCTGCTAGAACTTGTTACTGAACAAGTGGCAACATACACCAAAGTTTTAAAGAAAATTTGATTGAGGGGCAGAGGAACCTTAACTTTTTGAAAATGCGGCCCTTGGCTTGGCACCTGTAGGTCAGTGGTTACGACACCAGCCACATACTCTGAGGCAGGCAAGTTCAAACCCAGCCTGGGCCTGCTAAACAACTGCAACAAAAAAAAATAGACAGGCGTGGTGGTAGGCGCCTATAGTCCCAGCTACTTGGGAGGCTGAAAGAAGAGAATCACTTAAGCCCAAGAGTTTGAGGTTGCTGTGAGTTGTGACACCACAGCACTCTATGGAGGGCAACATAGTGAGACTCTGTCTCAAAAAAAAAAAACAGAAAGAAAGAAAGAAAATGCTGCCCTATTCCTGATTGTTTCCCTGTGAACTGGGAAAGAGCCATCAGCACGGTATGGCGGCTGAGAGCTGGCTGGGCGATGCTATGTGGCTTTCATTCAGCACCCATTTCATTCTCTGTTTCCTCAATATCAATAATGAAATGAGGTCCTAGGAAGTTGTTGTGGGGATTAATAAAACTCACAAATTTAACATGCTCAGCAGTCCCTGGCACACAGTAGGTACTCAGGAGATGTCAGCTGAATATAGTGATGAGAGGAACACATGACACAGTGGGCACATCCAAAGTGGTTAGAAGACTAATATTTCCCCTTAATTATTAGTCTACTAATAGTTACTAACTGCTGAAAACAAAACTGTAAGTATTTCCACTAATTCTAGCCTTCTTTTAGTCCAATTAGGCTCTCAACATTTTGGTTGGCCATCCCGGGAGGGGGGAAAATTTTGCTTATACATCCTGATGTAATGTGCTACTGCATTAATGTTATATACATCTTGAAACAATATATAGGGAAAAAATGTAATAAACAGGAAGCAAAAATATTTAACACAGTTTTGCCTTATTTATTAACATGCCACTAAACCATTTTGTTTGTACAATAGCAGTAATATAGTACGAGCAACATACTGGAATATATTTCATCAACTTGAAAATCTCAGTTTAATACTTTGTAATATTGCAATTCAAAAGCAGGTTCAAAGTTAATACTTGTTCTGATGACTATCACAGTTGGGAAAACTCTAAATAGAAGTACCTCTTTGCATGTGCCTATTAAATACTGATTTTTTAGTCCTATCCACTAGTTGTTCCAAGTATTTTTCTTGATATTTACTTAATAAATTTCCATCTTTCTCAAAAAGTTTTTTTTATAAACTAATTAAGTATTGCTTTTTAAAAAATGGAGATAAATTATATACAGTGAAATGTATATACTTTCATGAATTTTCTGAGTACCTACTTTATGTTTGATGCTGCTGGGAATAAAGGATTTAGTCAGTTTTTGTGAGAGGGTAAAAATAGTCCTACTTATTTAATTTTATCTATAAGTATGTATCTCAAGAGATAAGAATTACTTTTTTATTTTTTTGGCTGGGGTTTAAACTGCCACCTCCTACTCCTTTGAGCCACAGGCGCTGCCCTTTTTTTTTTTGAAAAAGAGTCTCACTTTGTCACCCCTAGTAGAGTGCTGTGGCATCACAGCTCACAGCAACCTCCAGCTCTTGGGCTTAGGTGATTCTCTTGCCTTAGCCTCCCAAGTAGCTGGAACTACAGCTGCCTGCCACAACGCCTGGCTAGGATAAGAATTACTTTTAAACATGACACTTAAAAATAGCTATCAATAATAATTTTTTTTTTTTGAGACAGAGTCTCACTATGTCCCCCTTTGTAGAGTGCTGTAGTGTCATAGCTGACAGCAACCTCTAACTCGGGCTTAGGTGATTCTCTTGCCTCAGCCTCCCAAGTAGCTGAGACTACAGATGCCTGCCAAAATGCCTGGCTATTTTTTGTTGCAGTTATCATTGTTGCTTAGCTGGCCCTGGCCGAGTTTGAACCCACCACCCTTAGTGTATGTGGCTGGCACCATAACCACTATGCCAAGCCTGTTTCATCATTTTTTAATACAGTGGGTTTTCAAATCAAGATCTAAACAAGGTGTACCCTGGCTTTTGTTTTGTTTTGTTTTTTTGAGGTAGAGTCTCACCTGGATATAGTGCCCTGGCATCATAGCTCACAGCAACCTCAGACTCCTAAGCTCAAGCGATTCACTTGCCTCAGCCTCCCAAGTAGCTAGGACTATAGGTGCCTGTCACAACACTCAGCTATTTTTAGAGACAGGGTCTTGCTCTTGCTCAGGCTGGTCTTGAACTCATGAGCTCCAGCAATCCACTCGCCTCAGCTTCCCAGAGTGCTAGGATTACAGGCATGAGCCACCATACCAGCATACCATAGCTTTTGGTTGTTATGTCTTTTTTGTTTTGTTTTGTTTTTAGAGACAGAGTCTCACTATGTTGCCCTGGGTAGAGTGCCATGAAGTAACAGCTCACAGCAACCTCCAGCTCTTGGGCTTAGGTGATTCTCTTGCCTCAGCTTCCCAAGTAGCTGGGACTACAAGTACCTACCACAACGCCCAGCTATTTTTTTGTTGCAGTCTGGCTGGGGCCGGGTTTGAACCCACCACCCTCGATATATGGGGTTGACACCCTACTCACTGAGCCACAGGTGCTGCCCTGGCTTTTTTTTTTTTTAGACAGGGTTTCACTACGCTGCCCAGTATAGTGCTGTGCCATTACAGCTCACAGCAACCTCCAACTTTTGGGCTTAAGTGATTCTCTTGCCTCAGCCTCACAAGTAGCTGGGACTACAGGCACCTGCCA